CATGAGCCATCACCCTCGGCCTGGGTCTCAGGTTTTTATAGGCACAGGAGGAGGGTATGGCAGGCCAGGGTGGTCTTGGGAAATGCAACATCTGGGCAGGAAGGCAGGAGTGCCTGTCCTCACCTAGCTCCGTGGGGGTGGAGCCCTAGCCAGGGACCATGCCCTACTCTACCCAGCACTTCCCTTCCCCCATTCCATAAGGGACTACGCTGTTCTCTTCCTAGCACTCCCATATCAGCAGCTGGATAAGGGCTCAGTGGCAGAGCCAGTAAGCCATGAGCAGGCATGGAAAATCCCTGTGCCCTGTCCCACCACCTATAAATGGTGATGATCAGTGATGACCAGTACCTCTATTTGTAGGCTACATGGCAAAAAGTGTCACAAGTCAAAGACTTGCAGTGAGGCCAGCACACAGTTGAACACCAAGAGCATCTGACGTGCTGAGGACAGGGGCCACTCAGGTGCTGGTGCCAGTAGCAGAGCCTGAAGAACAGCTGCAACAAGCCTCAGTGGCTAAATTTCCACTTTTCCACATCTATCTACAGATGCCCTAACACTAGTACACAGACATGTATGTAACGGGGATGTCAGAAAAAAAACACAAATGCTAATCAGGGCTCTGGTTAAATTACTAAAAAGCAAACGAACGGGAGAAGGTGGCAGGCAGGTTTGATAGGGTTTTCTCTCCCTACATAGCACACATTTCTGTGTGAATGAAAGAGCTGCTTCCTTTTCATTTATTCAACCACATTTAGTAAACACCCGCCAGTCACCATCACAGGCCCAGAGTTCCCGTCTTGAAAGCCCTCCAGCCACAAACAGTATGGCTGCCACACCCGTGCACACAACAGAGGCACTGCACTGGGTCCGAAAGGGTTAGGTGGGGGTGTGCGAGGCTGTGCAGGCCACAGGAACCATAGCCCAGAAGCAGTGGTGAGCCAGCCTGCGGGGCTGGGTGTGTGCAGGGAGAATAGGAGGTCACAGAATGCCCCACCCATGCGTCAGGTCCAAGGAACCTTCTCTCCTAGCACAGCAGCCGCAGAATCAACCTCCAAAGTCACCAACAAGGACTGGGCTGACGACCCAGGGAAATGCAATCCCACAGCCCACTGCTCACAGTCCACCGAGAACATGGTTCCTCAATACAGGCCACACCAAGCTGTGTCACTGGTGCGCGTGCAAACCCCCAAAACCAGGTGGCTCCTCCAGCTCAGTGAAGAAAGCACATTTCTCATGATGGGCAGCAGTCCGTGTTCTCTGAGCACTGACTAGGAGCTCGCAAGAGCCACAGGAGCCTTTCATGGTGCTCCTACCCCAAAGAGACCAAGCTGTGTGGACTGGCACAGACAGAGGATGTCTCTACCCCAAATAACCAGCTCTGTGAAAGGGGGCTATGAGACAGAGGGTAGCAACCAGGCTTCTCTCCTGGGCCTCTGTGGACCCTGGGAAAGAAAACTAAGCACAGGCACCTGTTTCCTGACACAGGCGACAGCCACAAACTCAGGCAAACACACGCCCCACATCCTCCACCTCTGATCCCCTGGTGTCCTGCAGCAGTCAGCAATCAACACCAGCCAGTGGGAAATGATGAAGTGCAGGTCTCCACAAGCCACAGAGGCCTGCATGTCAGTTTCAAGTTAACAAAGACAGCTCAACCTCAGGTCATTCCACTCTGACATCAGAGAGAGACCAGAGACACCTGTTCACGAGGACCTTGGGAGCCTGAGACTAAGCAGTGAAGATCCTGCTGACAGCAGCACCCCAGGGTGCCCAGACTGTCCATGCAACCACGTCACAAACACGTACCGCCGATGAAACATGCCGCAAACAACGATTCCCACACGCATCTCCAGCCCTCGCCTCCCCAGGACATCTCCATCCATGGTCATCGCACTGAGACCCAACAGCTCTAAACTCATCACCCTCACCTGACTTATCACCGGCCCTACCCTGCCTGCGTCTTACCGCATCGTGTGCGTTCACCACCATCCCCTTCCAAAGTGGTTCCTGCCTACGGGGCTGTCCCCGACCCAACTCTGCTCACACCCCTGAGTTCGGCCACGCCCCCGTACCCCTTTCTGCTTACCTCACTGCACTTGAGTTTATGGGTCTGTCCCTTCCCCACCTGAGCAGGCAAAGGAGCCCCTCCCCAGAGTGTGTAGGGCCGAGCCACCAGCGCCCGCGGAGTGGTTTCTCTGACCCTAACACTGCAGCTGCACTGACGCTGCCCGAAAACCCGACCCCAAATCGGCCGCTCAGCTCCTGCCCGGCAGCCCCTAGGTCTCACCTTGGCTGAGTGAGGGCTGGCTCCCCGCGGCCCTGCCAGCTCTATGCCCTGCACGCTATGACCAGTCATCCTCGTGACTAGGGACAAATCACCTTCCTGCTCGCGATCGTCAGAGAATACGGAAGGCATACGGAGGCCGGGGCACGCCGGCTTTGCAGGCTCCAGGCGTATGCTTGGCTTCCCGGAGAGAGGACCCCCCGGTGGCCCCGCTTGGGGGAGAAGGGCCGGGGACCACCGCGCTCCCGGGGAGGGCCGGGCACCGGGGACCACCGGGCTTCCGGGAGGGGCGGGCACCGGGGACCACCGCGCTCCCGGGAGGGGCGGGCACCTGGGACCACCGCGCTCCCCGAGGAGGGGCGGTCGAGCGGCCGAGACCACTTAGCGGCGCGGAGGAGAGAACAGTCGCACAGCTCCGGCCTCTCTTCCGGGCTGTGGCGCGGCGCACACCTGAGCCAAGGTCCCCGCGACACCCAGGACCCTCCCAGCGCTCGCCCTGTGACCTTGGGGAGGCGCCTCCTGACTCGGCTTCCTCCGCGGCCCCGCCAAGGGAGCGGCCTCAGGCTCTCCAGCCCAGACTTCCCCGGGAGGCGCTTCCCCAACGCCGCCGAAGGCTCATCCCCGCCCGCCGTTTACCTGAGGAGCCGCCGCCACCTCCGCCGGGGCGCCGCCTTCCCGCCGAGCAGTGGCCCCGGAGTGGGCGGAGCCTCGCGCCGAGCCCGCCCTCGCTGCCTTCTGGCCAACCGCAGCCCGGAGCGCGGCAGTAGGTCCCCGCCCCCGAACGATCTCCGCAGTTATTGGTCAGGTGCACGTCTCTCACGCTCGCTCCACCCCGCCCACCTTCATTTGCAAAGCAAGAGTGCGCAGACTCGGCTTTCGCTCGGCCCCCGCCCCCGGCCGCTCCTGGGCCACCGCCTCTGTCTGAAGAGCGCCAGCGCGGCCGCCACTGCGCAGGCGCGGCCTTCAGGCTCGTGACAGCGACGCCAGCCGTCCCCGTGTCCCCGTCGGACGCACAGAGCCCTGGCGACCTCCGCTCCCAGACGCCGGGGACGCGGGCTCGGCGCGGCGTTGCGGCCGCTCGCAAGCACACGCCCGCCCTCTGTCTGCCCGGAAGCGCCCGCTGGAGGCCGCGGCACCGGGAGAGGGGCAGGACACTCGGGGCCCTGCGCTCGTTGGGAAAGAGGCGGCCAGCGGGGTCCCGGGAGCTCGGGACGCGATAAGAGCGATGTGAGGAAGGAAAGCGCCCGCCGCGCGTCCAGGCTGGGCGTCGGCAGAGGCGGAGGCGGCGGGAGCAGCGCAGGCAGGATGTCCACTCCAGGCCGGAGGGACTGGGCTCCCGCTGTGGGGACGGCGCCCAGGAGAGCACAGGACCCTTCGCGGATGTGGGCGCGGCCCCTGCGGCGACTTGCCACGCGCCTGTGGCCCTGTCCCCTCCCGGTCTCGGAGTCGCCTTCGCGCCACGCACACAGCTGCTGCACGCAGCACAACCCCGCTTTCGCTCCGACCGCAAACAAGCGCCAGCCCCTCCGCCAGGGGGCAGGCCTGAGTCTGCATTTTCTCCCTAGGGCTCCGCACAAAGCCCAGCACCGGACGGCTGCCCAGTGAAGCCCCGGGAATGAATTCAAGTGCAGCCAACGACGCGGATAATCGAGACTGCAAAGGGAGGGTGGACAGAGCCAATGGCCGTTCTGAGCCTGCAGTCATCAGTTGGCTTGACACTCGCGGGCTTCCGGCCGCGTCCTGGCACTGGTGGGAGCCGGGAGGGAGAAGAGGTGCGCCGCAGGGGGCGCAGGCTCCCAGGCTCCGCTGCAGAGCCCAGAGGCTCAGCTACCCTGGGTCGGGACCACCTGGCTCCGGTTCTAGAGTGGCCGTTTCTTGCAGCCCCCACCTTCGACGAACTCCACCCTGCCCCCGTGCCTCTCCAGCCCTTCTAACACTTGAGCAACCAGTCCCACTTGCTTAAATTGCCTGGAGCAGTTTCTCTTTTTTCCTCACCCCCAGGTCAACCACAAACCAGTTTGTTTTTTCTGAGGTCTGTCACCCAGGCTGGAGTGCAGTGGTGCTCACTGCAACCTCAACCTCCCCGGGCTCAGGTGATTCTCCCACCTCAGCCTCTGGAGTAGCTGGGACCACAGGGCACACCACCACACCTGACTGATTTTTAAATTTTTTGAAGAGACAGGGTCTCACTATGTTGCCCAAGCTGGGTTTTTGTTTTTGTTTTTGTTTTTTGAGAGGGAGTCTCGCTCTGTCGTCCAGGCTGGAGTGCAGTGGTACAATCTCTGCTCACTGCAACTTCTGCCTCCCAGGTTCACGCCATTCTCCCGCCTCAGCCTCCTGAGTAGCTGGGACTACAGGTGCCTGCCACCACACCAGGCTACTTTTTTTTGTATTTTTAGTAGAGATGGGGTTTCACCATATTAACCAGGATGGTCTCGATCTCTTGACCTCGTGATCTGCCAGTCTCGGCTTCCCAAAGTTGTGGGATTACAGGCGTGAGCCACCGCGCTCGGCCCAAGCTAGGTTTTATTGTTGAAATGAGGCCTCTCACTGTTACCCAGGCTGGAGTGCAGTGGCACGATCACAGCTCACAGCAGCCTTAAATTCCTGCGCTCAAGTGATCCTCTTGCCTCAGCCTCCCAAATAGCTGGAACTACAGGTGGGCACCACCAAGTCTGGCTAATTTTTAAGTTTTCTTGCAGAGACAAGGTCTCACTATGTTACCCAGGCTGGTCTGAAACTCCTGGACTCAAGAGATCCTCCTGCCTTGGTCACCCAAAGTGCTGGGATTACAGGCATGAGGCACTACACCCAGATCTTGTCCTTATTTCCTGTATCCCAGGCAATTTGCCAAACAAGGGATGAGGGTGAGCAAAGGAATATCAAACACATGCCTTGCTCTGAAAAGCTCATGGTCCAAAAGGGATGAAAAAGTGTGTTTTTCCAGTTCAAGCCAGCCCGTTCCAGGGCCTTTTCTGCAGCAAACATGCCACGTGCACCCACAGATCTCGGTAGAGGAGACTCCAATTCCCCAGACTCACTGGCCTGTACCAAGCACTGGCCCCTTGCAGACATTCCCAGGATGGCTGCCCTCTAGGCTCACAGCCACTGTGCTGTCCAGCTTACAGCAGAGATGACACATTTGGGTTGGGCTTCCCCACCATGGGGCCTTAATTTCATCATTTGTAAAGCGAGGATTGCTTGGTTGTGTTAGGACTTGAGATCCTGGATGTGAACTGCCCCCACGGGCCGGGCACCTGAATGTGTTCTGTGAATGGGGGCAGGACTGCTACAGGTGGTAGCTGTAGCTGGTGTGACTGCCCAGAATGGCACCCAGCACACAGCTGGCACTCAAACGTTAGCAGCAATAGTGCCCACAGCGCACTCTGGGGTCCAGAAGGGAGGGGCAAAGTTGGCTTCTGTCTCTTGGAGCTGTAGGATCAGAGGTGGGCTCAGGCGTGGGGTCCTTGCTTGCCCTAGGGTGTGTGGTCAAGTCTGCAGAGGTCTCTAGGTGGGAGGCTTCCTGCACCCTGCTTCAGGCTCCAGTGGAGAAGGCTGGGAGACAGACAGGGCTCCAACCACCATTTCAACTGCACGCCTTCCTCTGGCTCAGCCCACCTTAGGGCCCAGCTGAATGTGGCCGTGGTATCCTCTCGAAGGAGGAAGGGGTGCAGTTGAAATGGTGGTTGGCACGTATGTGTCCCTTTTCCTGTCTTTATGCCCCAGAAATCCCCACCCTCATTTCTTTAATGGCTTTCTGTGGCCAGCCACATCAAGAGGGGTCCACAGAGGCCTCACCCTGGCTATAGCTCTTGAATTGGGTTTTCACCTCACAGAGAGTGGGCCCCATGTGGGCAGGACTGGTCCCACAAGATTTCCTCAGAGCAGGCAGGTCCCCAAAACGAGAAGACGTATGCTTCAAGGGCACAATGCAGGTACAGCTCTAGAATTCTCCATTCTAGAACCTGCCCCTCCTCTCCCCAAGCTAGCCCTCCCCCTGCCCAGTCCAGGGCTGTGCCAGCCCCCGCCCTGAGCTCACAGCCCCATCACTCCCTGCCTCTGCCGCAGTCCCAGCAAGTCTTCAGAAGCGTGGCTGCTGCCTCAAGAAGGACGCAGTTCCCACCCAGCGCCCCCCACCTCCCTGGCCCCTGCCCTCTGACACAAGTCAGGCCTCAGTCGTGCCCCCCAAGACTGGTGAAACTGGACCACTACACCCCCTCCCATGCACTGCCCTCCGTGAAGGGCAGCAGCAGGCAGAAGCTGGATCAGAGAACCTTCACAGAGCAGATACATGAGGGCAAGGACAATGGCTACCTGTTCCCCAAAGTGTACTTGGCTGATGCCACCCACGAGTGCATGCACCACAACCCCAAGCTGTCCTCCAATCTGCAGGGCAAGCGCCACACCATGGTAAGGCAGGCTTACCTCCCTCCCCAAGGGGCTCCAGTGCCCCCCAGCCTGGCCAGCAGGCCCCTCTGTGTCCCAAACCCACTCAGGCACCATCCAGCTGCTCCAGCTTCCTCCGTCTGAGACTCTCCCCAGTCCCATTTCCTCCCCAGAGGCCTCTCTGGGGCTCCTGCAGGCTGACCATCCCCTGTTCCCAAACCCCTTGAACACAGAGTACTTGGCACAGGAGGGAGTGGGGAGGTCATCGCTGCCCTCCAAGGGCACTGCTCACCCAGCGTCCCCCCCTGAGGATTCCAGCAAAGTGTATAAAGGACAGGGGCCTGCCTTACCACAGCCAGCCCCTCAGGGGCCAAGTCTCACACAGCAAGTGCCATCCACCCTACAGATAGCTGTCACGATCGTCTCCACAACCGAGGCCCCGGTGGAGTTTTCCCGCGAGCTCCTGCCCCGTGAGATCTCTAGCACTCAACACTACCTACAAGCACCTGAACGTGGTGGGCAGAGGCCTGGACACAGCCTGTCCCCACCCTCCCCTTCCCCAAGGGTAGCTCTCCCCAGCCAGCTGCCTGCCCCAGGCCTATTGCCCCCTCCCCCCACCTTGGACCTCCCTTTCGCCCCAGGGCTGGAGCCCAACCCCATCCTGGAACCTGGATCTGGTACCCTTGACAGTTCCAGCACACCCTTGGCCCTGCCTCAGGGTGATGGCAGGTGTGTGGGCTGCAGGTGCAGCTGTATGAGACCTATCAGAGCAGCCAGCTTGTGCCGGAGCTGGTGGCCCAGGGCGACCTGCTGGAGCACATCAACGCTGCGTTGGACCACCTCTGCCACCCAGGGCTGGAGGAGAAGGAAGTCCTTGGACTGTTCTGGCAGCTGGTCAGTGCCATGGCACACTACCACAGCATGGGCATCGCGTACCAGAGAGGGCGGCACCTGGGTCGATCGTGTGCCCACAGGCACAGAGAGGCCCACTTGAGCCCAAGTTAGCCCTACCTCCTGCCTCCCCTCTCCCATGCAGGGACCTGAAGGGCGAGAACATCCTGCTGGATGACCATGGCCTTCTCAAGCTGACCGGTGAGCCCACAGCCCCCGCCCTAACCCCCAGCCTGGGGTTGAATGCCTCCACCTGCAGGGCCCACACCCCACGCTTGTCCCAGCCAGGCCCCTGCCTTCAGCTCTCCCAGAAGGCCTGCAGGCCACCCTTACTCATGGGCCTGAGGCCACTGGCCTAACCCCTACGTATGCCCCAGACCAGGCCCACCTCATCCACACCCACACTCTTGCTGTCGGCCACACACTGCATGCAACCCCGCAAGCCTCCACAGCCATCCCTGCAGACTGGCATCCTGCACCCGACCCTCACACACAGTGCCACCCTCCCCATGCACCTGGTACAGATTTTGACTTTGCCGACTGCATGGGGCCCAGGAACTCACTGCTCAGCACTTTCTGTGACTCCTCAGTCTACACAGCCCGAGATCCTCGTGAGCAGCAAGTATAGCAGGGAGCAGGCCAACCTGTGGAGCCTGTGAGTGCCTCCCAGGGAGCCCTGACCCCAGGCAATGGGGCAACCTGTGGAGTCTGAGTGCCCCCAGGGCACCCCAACCCTGTGGCCAGGGCCCACAGGAGGGCTGGGGAGAGGCCACACCTGTAGGAGCTCATGTCCCCAGAGGTGTCATCCTCTATGCCATGGTGAGTAAGAAGCTGCCCTTCAAGGAGCCCCAGCCCCACTGCATGCTGTACCTCATGCACTGCAGTCCCACCTTCTGGCCAGGTCTGTTCCCAGGTAAGCACCACCCCATGACTTCCCCACACCTAGCTCAGGCCTAGAGAGCGGCAGTGAGGAAGACGTGGACTCCCAGGAGGGTAGTCCTGCGTGGTGGAAGAGACCGAACCTGGCATCCTCCCCGCTTAGGCTGGGAAGCATTTGGTCCGTGCACGGCAGTGACAAGTTCTGGGGAAGCTGGATTGGTGGAGGACCTGACTCCAAATGCAGTTCAGGAAAGGCTGTGGCTGCGAACCTGAGCTCTGCACTAGCCCAGGGCACACTGCCTTGCCCCTCTATGCCTCAGTCTCCCCACTGGCGACAGAACTGACCCCTCTAAGCTGCTGGCACCATTGGCAGTGACGTGCATGGGGTGAAGGTGGGTGCTGGAGTGGTGAGAGGCTGCAGCTGTGAGCCCTCGCCCACAGTGCCAGGACCTGATTTGGGGGCTGCTGCAGCTGCGTCCAAACACATGCCTGGGCCTGCAGCAAACACGCTCTTCCTCAGTGCTGTGCCAGGTGTGGTGTGGCCCTCTGGGTGAGCAACTGAGCAGCACGTGGTCCCTCTGCACTCCACCTGACCCCACTGTGGTCCCTTGCAGAGAAGCAGGTGCAGTCCCAATTCCCAGCATCCATGGATGACCTGGAGCCTGGTACAGACTTAGAGCGCCAATGGCCAGTGCTGTAGCTGCATTGCCCCCATCAGCAGGGCATCTCCAAGGAGAACGCGGGCCCTGAGCTCAGGCCTCCGGAAGCACACCCCAGAAGAGGGGTGGGTTCTGCCCAGCTGGTGCTCTGGAGCACTGTGGCAGCCAGCCTAGGAGTGAGCGCCTCCAGCAGGCGTTCCAGTAAACTGAGGGTGGGGGGGGTGGGGCAAGGCCAAATAAAGCATTTATTCTGTGAAGAGAGTGCAGATGTCTGAGTGCTGAGAGGGCAAGTGGCCTCCAGTGGCAGGCGGGGGCTCTGGCCGGGGGAAAACATGGTCCACACATGCCTGCATGAGTGGCAGAGCTTTATTGGGGGCAGGTGAGAGGAGATCCTGGAGGCGGGAGACGCCTGGCACCTGAGCCTCCAGTTTTAGGGTGTGGAGTGAGGCATTGTGAACGCTCAAGAAAACAAGTTAAGCTCCTTCACCAGGGTTCAAGGGGCCTGGGAGGGCCCATCAGTGAGAAGGGGCCAGCCCTCACGAGCCCAGTGCAAGAGGTGGCAGTGAGATCAGATCGGCTCAGGAAGGGAAGAGTGTGGCAAGCCCCTGTGGGGCTTAGCAGCCACAGACCTGGCAGGTGGGGGGATGCTCACAGGTCCAAGGGAGAAGCAGGTAAGATCCCTGAGCCCATAGTGGGCTCTACCACAGGGGCAAAGGGTGGCTTGGACAGGGGCCAGGCTGCAGGCACATCTGGAGGCTCTTGGCAGAGGTAGGAAGGCCAGGGAGGAGTGGCCCAGGCTCAAGGAAGCTGACCAGGGAGATGGCCTAGCTAGAGAGGCCAGTGAGAGCACCCACCCAATCTGAGACTGGGAAACAGGAAGACATAGGGAGTTGACAAGGGTTGAGGGCAGGGTCCTGGAGCACAGGTCAGGCAGGGAGGCACAGTCCTAGAAAGAACCCAGGATCTAGGTATGGCTGGGTCAGCCCTTTGAGGCCAGGTCTCAGGGAACAGGGAGCTGAGAGCCGCAGGGAGTGGGGCTGACAAAGCAGCACTTATACCTCTGTCCAGACCCTGCAGTGCCCTGGGGACTTGGAAGCTTCAGCTGGCTCCTTGGGGCTTGCAGTGGTTTTCTGTCCAGTCCCCATGCTGTGCCCAGGAAGAGTCTTCTCATGGCTCCCTGGCTATCCGCCTGCCACCTCCACCTTCTGCACAGGCAGCCGAGTCACGGTGCCTGGCCCACAGTACTGCTGTGCACAACCTTCATTCTTGCTGGTAGCAACACTGCACAGGGCTGGGAAGTGCCTCCAATTCTTACTGGAGCCTAAGTGTAGCTCTGCTTCTCAGCAGGGCACAGTCTCTGAGCAAGGGGACTCAAGGGGCCTGTAGGCAGCTGCAGGAAGGCCTGGTCTGAGAAAACCTGGCAAAGGGGACTTTGGCAGAGCTGGTGTCTGGCTGCAGGGGCCTCAGGTGGGTGTGGCCCTCTCCACCCATGGCTCTGGGGCCAGCTCCAGCTCCCGCTCCTGCTCCCGCTCCAACTGCTCCTGCTCCTGGCAATCCAGCTGCTGCAGCTGCTGCTCCACATCCTCAGGCACCTGCACCTCCAGCAGGTTTTCCATGCCAGGTTCAGGCTCATCCCCAATAAGCACCTGCCAGACGGGAGGCAGGTGAGCAGCTGGCCAGCTACAGACACCCCTTCCCCAGCCTCTCCAACCCTGCACCAACCTGGATGAGCTTCTCACAAGCCGCCCGCACGTCGGGCTCTGGCTCCCAGCTGTGCAGCTCTCGAAGGATCAGGTAGGCTCCCTGGTCCCGCACCTGCTGCCGACCTGGTGCTGTGGCTGTCAGCTGAGGAGGTGGAAGAGGTTACCCAGATGTCAGCATGCTCGTGTGTGTGTGTCAGGGATGGTGCTTATTGCAGCAGGGCTCCTGCTCACCAGCATGATGGCTTCAACAAGCATCTTGCGGATGTCTGCATCAGGTTCTCGCTGCTTGTCTGGTGGTAGGTACTGTAAGTCCACAGGCAGCCCTAGGGGTGAGTGTGTGGGAGCCACTGTGTCCCTGAGCTGGGCAGCTGGGCCAGGCTCTGCCTGTGTAAGTCCCACCTGTGCTCAGCAAACTCACTGCTGCAAGGTTTCAGAAGGAGCCTGTGGCCTGGACACCTCTCTCCCTCCACTGGCCTCCCTCCTCTCTGGCCAAGTCTGAGGCTCCACACTAGCCACTCACGTTCCATCTCTTCCTCGGAGAAATCCTCAGGCCCAGCCAAGGGCAGGAGCAAAAAGGGGAGAATGTCCACCTCAGGTCCAAGCAACCACTCGTGATGTCCTGAGGGACGGTGAGGGTAGGGAGACAGGAATAGAGACTGGTCCAGAGCAGCCCGGAGTCCAGTCCCCACCCCTGGCGACGCCCCCCTGCCACACCCACCACTCACGGTGCTCGAAGCAGCAATTCCGCAGCGTTCCCACCACCCCGCCCCTGCGTACAGAGGAATCGGGGTACTGGGTAAGGGGCAGCAGCCGCTGGACCACGCACCTGTTGGGAGGGGTCACTCAGGGCCGTCCCCGTTAACTTCCGTCCCCTCCCCGCCCGCGCGGGCGCCCTGGGCTTCACCTGTCGGGGTCCAGTAGGAAGGCCCTAGCCGCAGGGCGTTGGCTGAGGTTGGAGAGCAGCGGCGCCAGGTAGTGCAGGGGCGCGCGGGCGTTGTAGCCGGGCGTGCACAGCGCCCGCACCAGCCGCTCCAAGCCCGAGTCTGCCGGCTCCGCGGCCGCCAGCGCAGCCATCAGCTCGGCACACGGACCCGGCTCGCGACTGAGGTTGGCCAGCGCGGCGGCCGCCTCCTCGGCCCAGGGCCACTGCGGGTCCAATGCGCGGCCCAGCAGGCGCGCTGGCAGCCCGGGATCGGCCGCCAGCAACGTCTCGTGCAGGGCGGGGTCGGCGGCCAAGTTCACGAGCGCGCGGGCGGCGTCGCGGGCAGGGGGAGAGGCCGGCGCCAGCTCCACCAGAGCCTGCAGCAGCGCCTCCTGTCCCGCCAGCAGCGCGCGGCCGGGCCCGGAGCCGGTCAACGCCAGCACGTGCCGCACCGCGGCCGCCTGCAGGTCCGCCCGCGCGCCCGGCGCCAGGAAGGGCAGCAGCTTCACCACCTCCGCCTCCGGGCTTGCCTCCGGCCCTCCTGGCGCGCCAGCGCCAGCCCCGGCCTCCCCCATGTCGAGCGACACTCGGCTGCCAACGGACGGGTCCCAGCGCTCCACTTCGGGGTCCGCTGTGTGGCCCGCAGCTCCGCCCAGCAGAGGAGCGAAAGCCGCCCTGGCCAATCGGAGGCTGCGCACTGGGCTCAAGGGGCGGGAACGGCGTGCGGGGGCGGGGCCAGGCCGCGCGCGGGGTGTTATGGGTCTCGGTGTCTGGTCGGAAGCTGAGGAGGTCGGGGACGGAGCGCTGGAGGTCCCGAGCCCGGGGGGTCGAGGCCCGGCGCGATTTGGCCGCCTCCCGCGTCCACACTCTCTGGAAACCTCCGTATGCTCTCGGCTAGGTCGGCCAGTGCGTCCCACTGGGCGCTGGCCGCGCCTAACCTAGTCAGCCGGCCCTGGCCTCTCGTGGGCCCTGAGGGTCTGAGGCCTGCGCCCCGGCTCCTAGACCAGGCTGTCGGGTCGGAGAAGGGCTGAATGGAGGAGCGGCGACGGGCCTGTCGGAAGGAAGGCCTGCTCTTGTCCAGGCTGGCACAGCCACCGAGAAGCTCGGGCCGTCCGGGGACGGGACAACACAGGGCACCCAGTGCGGACCTGAGGAGGCAGCTTTGGAGAGGCCTCTGGGCATCTCTGAGCGGGTAGCTTTGGGGCATTTGTCAGGATATATTCGTTCGCTAGTGACAAACCCAACTCAAACTGACTTGCACGAAGAGAAAATTTGTAAATAGAGGTTTGGAGGGCTCCAGCTTCAGGCACTGCTGCATCCAGGAGCTCTCTGGAGCCTTGTACTGTCTACCCTACCATCGCTTTCCCTCTCTGCTGCTCTCCTGCTCTGTGGCTCCATATCATCTCCACCTGCCGCTGGCCGATTTTCTCAGAGCAGCTGGGAAAGAAAGACGCTGGGACCTCCCAGTTCCATGGTCCTGGCAGAAGAGTTTCTCCCAGTATTGGAGTCTGCCCCAGGAAAGGACTCCAGTTCTTCACATGTCCTCCACTGTGGGCGGAGCAGCAACCTTCCAGAGACACACAGACTGGGGAGGAAGGGAAGGCAAAAGAAGGGCATTCCCTCACTCCAGCAGTTTTTGGGCACCTGCCATCTGCCAGGCTGGTAGCTCAGGACACTGAACCAAACAACTTTGGTGGCCTTTCTGGCCTCTGGGTCTTTGCACTTGCTGTCTCTTCTGCCTGGAATGCTCTTTCCTCAGCTGTACACAAGGCTGGCAACTTCTAATTATTTGTCAGAGCTGTCTTCCCTGGGCAACTTACAGAGACTCAGCCCACCCACCACCCACGACTGCTTGGTTTCTGTCCGCCTCCTTCAAGATAGCAATAAATTAGGCCAGGTGCGGTAGCTCATGCCTGTAACCCCAGCATTTTGGGAGGCCGAGGAGGGTAGATGGCCTGAGGTCAGGAGTTTGAGACCATCCTGGCCAACATGGTGAAACCCCATCTCTACTAAAAATACAAAAAAATTAGTTGGGCGTGGTGGCAGGCGCCTGTAGTCCCAGCGACATCGGAGGTTGAGGCAGAAGAATGGCATGCACCCCGGAGGTGGAGCTTGCAGTGAGCCAAGATCGCGCCACTGCACTCCAGCCTGGGAGACAGAGTGAGACTCCGTCTCAAAAAATAAAAAAATAAAAATAAATAAATTTATATTGTTTAAACCACTCAGTCTATGGCATTTTGTTATGGCAACCTGAACTGACTGAGACAATAGGTATGGGCTTTCTTTTTTGGATGTTGAAAATATTCCAAAATTAGATTATGCTGGTAGTTGCACAACTGTGAACATACTAAAAACATTTAAATTGTACACTTTAAATGGGTCGATTGCATTTAAACTATATCTCAAACCTGTTAAAAAGAGGGCACCCATGTAACAGTTGGGACACATTGATACCAAAAAGTATTTGTTGTTTGTCTGATTCAAATTTAACTGTATCCTGTACAGTAAATTTTGAATTCCAGACAAACAGTAAATACTGTATCCTCTATTCGAATTTAACTGAGTACCCTGTA